ACCAGTGATGTAGCTTCCAGCATCACAGCAACACACAAGCCACCACAACATGAGAAACTGACAGACCCGTGGTGGAGCAAGTGATAGTGGGTGTACTAATTTTTTTTTCTAGTTGCCCTTTCAGGTTTATGCTCCACCTTTTCCCACAGCATCCTATGGATTGCCTTAAATGAAATCCTTTGCTCATTGTCTTCTAGTTAGGGTTGGCCAATGGGGGATACTGAAAGAAGAATGGATATGGAAAGAAAGAGTGGAATCTTATCCTCTGTTTGCTCACTGCCAGGCTACAATTGAGTAATGGCATTTTTTTTCTACCAAAGATGATAGTTATTTGGCACTCTCACCCTATAACCACCCCAGGCCCTTTTAGTTCCTCATGTATTAAGAGCAAGCTGCTATTGGTAGCCCTGAATTGTCCTTAAATTCTGGCCACTCCTGTGAAAATGACCCCTTTTTGAATTGCTCCCCAATTGAAGAGGGCCATCTGTTTCCTGGTAGGACCTTGAAGCTATGAAGGAAGATAACAGATAAAGGTGAGAGTTAAAATGAGGGAAAATGGAAAGGTCTTGGCAGCTAACTGGATGTTAAGGGAGCTGAGGAATCGGATGGGAAGGGCAGGCCAGGGACTCTGTTTGAACACACTGGGTTTTGAGTATCTGTAGATATTGTTGTGGGGAGGTCCTAGCAGAGCTGTAAATGTAGGTCAAGTGTCTGAGGGGTCATAGTTGGAGCGATTGATTTGAGAAGCTCTGCTTGTCAGATTAGAATTGCCCCATAAGGTTCTCTCTCACCTGGAGTAGCTAGTGGGTTAAAGCACTGGCTTTCGATTAGCCACTGAGTGCTTAATCATTGTGCCACCAGGGTTCTCTAGCTGGTAGTTGAAGTGAAAGAAACCAATAAACAACTTGTGCAGTATTGCAGAAGGGGCATGAAGGGGGGTGGGCATAGACACACACACACACAGATAGACCTTTGTAGACTCCTGACTGACTGGAGTCATACACACATTCAAGAACCTGCCCAACTGGATTGTCAAGTAGGGGTACTGGGTTGGAACAGCAGCTCTGCTCCATGCTGTTGCCCCAGGTATATCCGAGCAGTGACGGAATGGGGTGATAAAGGATAGGGGTGGATTTGAGAGGGTCACCAGCTGTGGTAGTGGATGATTTGATGTCAACTAGACACTCATGGCTAACGGTGGAGTCAGACCTGTCAATCAAGTGGGAGTCTGATGACACCTCCTTGAGGTGTGGCCTTTTGTATGAGAGTGAGGGACCTTAGGAACTGCTCTCTCTTTGCCACTTTGTCTTTCTGTCTGCTGGGTCTCTGTGCCTGCCTGTGGACCATCTGACCCCAAGAGCTTTTGCCACCCTGTCATGTTTCCATCAACCTTGGATCCAAGCCACTCTGTCCCCACTGGCCTTTGGTCTCTTTGCTCCCTGCGTCACTTTTCTGCCTCACTGGTGTGTAGCTACATGAGTCAGAAGAGGGACTTATGGACCAGCATTGGACTTAGGGGCGTGAGTGGGCCTGGCCTGGGATACCTACGTGATATATAATTACTTCTTGATGTAAAGCTCTTTAGTATGCATATGAGGGTCACTGGATTTGTTTCTATAGACAAGCCTAACATTCCAAGGATCAAGGGTCCTGAGTAATGGGAGTGGAACTCAAATTTAGTTTATTTTAAAGGCCCAATATTTTAAATCTTTAGAGCTTTGGTATCTAGACCATACATAGAAGCTTTATTCTTTCAAAATACTGCAGATTTAAATGTGGTCTCACAACATGATTCAAGAGAAAAGTGAGCATGTTCAGTGAAAGGAGTAAATGATAATGACAGATAAATCAATTGTGTGAAGAAGCTTTAAAGGGAGCAGAAATCTGGCCCTGTGTTACTAATGATCAAGAAGAGTCAAGAAGACAACTATAGTCATGGCTTCAGTTGACATTTGGAATTACCCTTGGCCTTCTCTATAATGTAAAGGGCAGAACACACTATGATTAGATTGTATCACTTAACTCCGAGGAAGGGAGAATGCAGTACTCCACCAGAGTCCTGTTCTATCATCCGTCTTCATCGAATCAAGTAACTAGAGAAAGATGGGACTTCTTTCCACAACATCGAGAAAGGACCTGTCCCATTGCTCTTTGCACCCCCAGTGCCACACGGGGGATAATCCAGCCATGAGTCAGTAAATGAGTGCAGCATCATATTCGCACCAAATCAGGGTCCGCATGCAGACATCTGCATTACCCCTTGTTCGTGGGTAGATTTTGACTCTTAGAAACCCTACTGGACAGGTTAGAATGGCTCCCAAAGTGCCCAGAAGCAGACCGCCTTCTCGCTCTCACATGGAGTGGCTAGTGGCTTCAGGCCACTGGCTTTTGATTCTCAACCGCGTGCTTAATCGCTGTGCCACCAGGGTCCTCTCGCTTAGCCACTGCTATTGAGTAGATTCTGACTCATCGCTGCCTTCATGGGCAGAGTAGAACGTCCCCATAGGATTTTGGAGCCTGGGAATCTTCCGGTTAAGACCCTAGTGCTTAGCCTCTGTGCCCACCAGCACTCCTTGTGGATAAGGTATCAGAACCCATTATTGTAGCATACTGGGTTACGTGTGAGGTTGCTAACCACAAGGTCAGCAGTTTGATCCAACAGGCAGCCCTGAAGGAGAAATATGAGGCTGTCTGTTTCTGCAAAGATTTACAGCCTTGGAAACCTTAGGGAACAACTCTACTTTGTCCTACTGGGTGACGATGAGTGAGAATTGACTCCATGGGGGGTGGGTTCATGTGAATTAATTTATCATAGTAGTTGTCAATCCTGGCTGTACATGACAATCTCCTGGGGTTATAGGGATCTTAAAAACAACACACTAATGTGTGGGCCCCACCCAGACCAAATAGACCAGAATCTAAGGGTGCGCGGGCTTGGGCATCAGTCGTCAAGTTCCACTATGATGCTAGTGCAGACAGGGTTGAGAATCACTGCAACCAGCTAAAAGCTATCCCCCTTCGTAAAGAGAAAGACAATGAAGACACAGGCCTGATAGTCTTCATGGGGGAAATCCGGAACCGTCATAAAAATGGCCATGTGCCTATTACACTGTCTATTACATAGCGCTTTCTTACGCCTTCTGACCTCAAGGCTATACTGGTAGTAAAGCCAGGCAGATCGAGCCCTGAGCTGTCATTGCAAACTCACAGCTTCTGAGTGCTGGATATTATTTTTATGACTTTGCCAAACTACTTCTTGACAGATAAGAATGGGGCTCATGCCCCTGGACAGCCCAACACAAGTGGTCTGGAACGGGGCCTGGGGACCTGCTGCTGTACAAGCACTGCCGGTGATTCTGTGACAAGGCCACACTTGGAACTCTCTAGGCCAGTGGTTCTCAACCTTCCTAATGCCATAGCCCTTTAATCTAGTTCCTCATGTTGTGGGGATCCCCAACCACAAAATTATTTTCATTGCTACTTCATCGCTGTTATTTTGCTACCGTTATGAATCGGGTGACTCCTGTGAAAGGATCATTCTACCCCCAAAGGGGTTGCGACCCACAGGTTGAGAACCACTGCTCTAGGCAGTAGCTCTGCATTAGAAGTGGGGTGGAGGCATGGGGACCAGAGATGGCATGTCAGTAAGAATTGCCCAGGAAGACTTCTCGAATACACTCATGGGCCCCTCCAAGAGCGAGGTGATGAGGGTGAATATACAGAGAAGACGATTCTGATTCCACCCTCACCTCAGCTGGGAAGCAAGAGCCATGGGGCACTTCTTGGGAGTCCAGCTAGGTTACACTGGGGGTGCTACTACTACAGTAGTGACCCTTGAGGTAGCACCAGGGGCCTGGGCCTGGGCAGAGAGTGGCAATGAGGTAGAGGCCTGGGAGGGAGGAGGTGGGGGAGGAGATTAGCTACCGACAGCGTGTAGGAGAGTGTTCCAGGCAAGCGGAGATGGCACAAAGTACCTTGGCACAGGGCGGCCTGGGTAGAGTAGCTGAAGCCAAAGCTGGAGGGACAAAACCAGCAGTTTTCAAATCACTTCTGTTTGTCCTCACATCAGAAATATGCATCAATCCTGAAAGTGCCAGGTGCCCGCGTCTGCTGTGCTTGGCATGTGAACACACTTGAGTGAAACCACAAGCAGCCAGGACAGAAACTTCTCCCCCCACCCCCCACCCTCACCCCAGGAGCTTGGCAGCTGATGAGAAAGGGCTGATGAAATAAACAGTGGTCATGTCTATGCTGAGGCCACCCAAAGGCCGCCTGGGCCAGCAGGCCTGTGGCCAGGAACACACCCCTGCTCTCCACTGAAGAAGGTTGAAGGCGATTCTTAGTAATCATTCCTGCTCGAAACAGATAGAAAGTTCTTCGACACAGGGTAGCGACTATCATTCTTTAAATGTCTTCTCAATGTGAGTCTCCTGGGCCTATCGGTTTCATGGGTCTCTTATGGTTTGTTCAGTTGTATGGGCAAGTTATGGACTCCCTGCTGTATCAGGTTGTGAAATACCAAGGCACTATTTTCACTTTTTGTAGTACAAAGTTCAAGATCAGTGGCAGTGAGCCTACATTGGAGAATTTGGAAGCCCGAAGACTTGGAGGGAACGTTCCCAATGATTCTTAGAAGGTTTCCCTGGGGTACTGGGAGCCAATAACAAGCATTATAAGGTGGAGAACAAAAGAACAAGAGGGAAGAGGTGTGTATGTGTGCATGTATGTGGTAGCCATGCAGGCAGGCTTCCCCTGAAGCTCTAGAACTGCACCCCTCTCTACTTTGACAGGATTTCTTCTCAGCAAGTCTTCCAAAGTAACAGGCTTGCTGCTACTCTTCTGGATAAGAAAGAGGGTGAGGGAATCTTCTTGTTCTATCATACAGATACTTTCCAAATCAAGGCTGGAGCCTTGTACTTAGATTATGTCCTTGTTCCTGCCTTCCTCAGCTCAGATTTGTCAATACTGCTCTCTGTCCTTTAAGCTAGCCAGTTTCTTACCTGGACTGCCCAATGGAGAGCTGTTTTAAAGTCTTTATCCACAAGGGTGGGGTCTGCCCCCTTCTTCAGCAGCATCTGGGTATGTTGAGGCTGATTGTGGAAAGCTGCCCAGTGGAGTGGCGTCATTCCCTACAAAACCACAATCAGAGAGAGAAAGATGAGGCTTCTTATGCCCATACTGAGTTACAATCTTGGAAGCCCCCGGGGGCAGTTCTACTCTGTCTCATGGGGTCCTTAGGAGTCGGAATCAAACCAATGGCAGTGAGTCTGGGTTTGGAGTTTGAACTCCTTATTATGTTCATTCATTCATTTATTGAGCTTCTGCTTTTTTGCAAGGCCTCTAAGCTCTGCTCAGGAGAAAGACGGAGTTGTCTACTCCAGTAAAGAGTTACAGTCTTGGAAACTCACAGGGGTAGTTCTACCCTGTCCTATAGGGTCACTATGAACCAGCAACATCTCGATGGCAGTGAATTTCGGTTTTTGGTTTTATAGATCACTCTGTTGGTTAATTGAACAGCTAATCACAAAGTCAATGTTTCAAACACACCTTGAGCAAGAACAAAGATTCCATACAGATTTATGGTTTATAGATGCTGCGAATACAATACTGCATAAGAATAAATCAGATCCCAGCTTTCCCATGAGGCAGACAAATGAGCCCAACGATTTTGCAGACTGATAAATGCCATGGAGGATTCCTGATACAGACTAACCACAGGTTGGGAGCTGCTCTGGAAGGGCTTCTGCGAGAAGACCTGGGGAACAAAGTGCTTCAGAGCAAAGGGACCGTCAGCCTCAGGTCATGGAAACAGGGAAAGTACAACGAAGAAGGGCATCGGTGTCGGGAGTCACGCCATGAAGCAACCTCCCACCACCGCCGGTGTGGGGAGTCACAGCACAGACCCACCTCCCTCCACGAAGTAGGAATGAGCTTTTCTAGCGCAGCGCCAGAGCCTAGAATGGGAGATAGGTAGCCTGTGAACGAGTAAATGAATGAAGTGGGAGAAGGGATCAGCGATGTGAGGGGAGGCCAGAGAGGGGAGCGAAGGCTGGTCCTGGGATGGGGGAAGTCAAATCTGGGTAAGGCATTCATGCGGGCATTCTATATGTAATGAAGAGTTGAAGGGCTCAAAGTGGTTGTTCATTGTTTAAAAGAAACCTTGGGCTGCTTAGAGAACAGGTCTTCATGAGTTAATATGGTGACATTTCACTTCTGTCAGGGCTTAAGGCCACACACTCTAAGAAAAATGGAACAACAAAATGAGCTTATCATGAGAAAAGTGACCCAAGAGATGGGTCCTCCTCCTTGCCCACCTCTCTCAGTTTCATGAAGTCTGCCTAGCATGGCGGTGGACTGAGATGACTGGTATGGAGTCTGTTGGAGACAGAGTGTGAGCACTCTGTATTATCCCTGCAGAAAACATAAAGACAGGGATCACCCAACTGGCCTTCTCTGCTCCATCCAAGATGAGCTGAATCGGGAGATGGGCTCAGCCTCTCCAGGAGTGCAGTCACAAAGGCTCAGATCAGATATTTATTGGCGCAGAGACTTCGATGAGTTCCTACATGCATGATCTCATTCAATTCTCCAGATCACCGTATGGATTACGTACTGCGGACAAGCCTGCTTGGTCTCTGCAGAAGTCTCTTGCCTTCTCTTCAGAGCATGAAGTCAGACTGCATTCTGAGCCTCTTTGCTCTTAGGGGGTCACACGGATGACTTCTAATGACTGGTGTGTGGACAGAAGGGGTGGATGCCCGATGATGGCTTGGCCCATAAAATATGACCCCTACTTACTGTCCTGTAGGCCTTCTCTCCTCCCTCATTTGTCAGCTGAATGTAGAGGAGCATCTTCAAGGCTCTACAGCAGTGGTTCTCAACCTTCCTAATGCCACGACCCTTTAGTACATATTGTGTATTAAATACATATTCCTCATATTGTGGTGACCCTCCCAACCATAAAATTATTTTTGTTGCTACTTCATAACTGTAATTTTGCTACTGTTATGAATCGGGTGACCCCTGTGAAAGAGTTGTTCAACCCCTAAATGCGTCTTGACCCATAGGTTGAGAACCACTGCTCTAGAAGATGCTGGAACCATGTTATTGGAAAAAAAAACAACTAAGTTCTTGATTAGTAAGGTAGACAGGGCCACCCCACCAATCAGCACTGGACCCGGACACAAGAAGAAATAAGCTTCATTATGTCAGACCACTGACATTTTGGGTGTTTTTTTTACAGCTGTTAGTAAAGTCTTCTTCTTACAGAAGAGGAAGTTGAGTTCTAGAGAAGTTCTCAGGACTGTGAGTGAGAACAAAACTAAAGTTAGTGTTTGAGGTTTATGGGGCATTTGGATTTGGTCCAGTGAGGTCAGGATTTGAATCTTAAATACCCTTTGATCAATTTCATATTTGAAATCATGTAATTAAGTCTGGTTTCAAAGTCCTAAAAGCAATGAAGATGGAAGGCTTGAAAAGAGGTGCTCACATGACCGGATTGCAAATGCTGTGTAACACCGAACCTCCGGAGATATAGAAAAGAAGGCAGGCAAAGCATGCGGTCCGACTGCTTGTTCTTGTCCTAGAGCAGTGAGTGTTTACTTGGGGTTTAGAATAGCTCACTGTGTTTCAATAGGTTCTTTGGCTTTTTACGTTTGGTCCATTGGGATTAGAAATCTGAACTTGAAGACAGAAGATTCTTTTCACTATTCACGAATGACCCCATTCCACTTTTCAGCTCCATTTGCATCAGAGTTCTTGACTGTATTCTGAAAAGCTACCATTGTTTCGCATTGCACAGTCTAAGCTTTATGGGAGCAGGGCTCTGATCTGCTGGTCTCCTAGAGCAATAATCCCTAGAGCAATGTTTCCCAAGTAGGAGATACCACCCTCGGGTGGGGTAGTGGTCAGGGTGCTGGAACAATCCGGGGAGGCTGCAAAAGCAATTACCTAGACTTTATCTTGCCTTAGGGGCTACAGTACAAAAAAGATTGTAATTCCCAGTGGGGTGCTGAGTAATTTTTTTTTTTTTCTAAAAAGGGAACAGTGGGCCAAATAAGTATGGGAACCTTACCCTCGGGCCAGGCACATCGTAGATGCTAAGTAAATATTTATTGAATAAGTGCATTTCATTAACTGAATAAGTGACTTCTCACTGCTTATTTTTATTTTTGTGTGAAATCCGACTTTGCTTCTTGAAATCACACACTAGAAAGAAAAGCAGAATATGAACTCCTTTACAGAGAATGGACTTGTCTCAGGGGACCATTGTTAGCAGCCCATCGGTTGAAAACTATTAGCATGCATGATGCGTGCTCCAAATTATCTTGTCTTTGTAGTTCTCTTAAAAGGTAAGGTAACTCAAACCGAGCCCCCTGCATCCTAGTTGATTCCAAGTCAGTGCAACCCTGAGTTTCTGAGACTATCAATTGCTATGGGAGCAGCCAGCCTCATCTCTTTCCCACAGCGTGGCTGATGGGCTTTATAGTGAGCACAATGCCTAATCCAGGGGTCCTGAAATGGTGAGGTAAGTGGCATGAAATACCATTTTAGAATGTGAGCTGTTCAGTCTGAATGCGGTTGTGAATGAACCTGTGTGTTAAGCATGGGGATGCTAACTGAAAGGCAGGGGGTTTGACCCTACTGCCCACTTCTCAGGAGAAAGGGCTTTGCTTCTGTCAAGAGTTATAGTTTTGGAAATGGTGGAGTGGCTCTTTTCCATTGGAATCTACTCAGTGGCAGTGGGTTGAATTTGGTTTGAATCACAATTGCTAGATTTCAAGAGTTAGTCTCTTTAAACAGCACCGAAACAAAATGAGAAACAATAAAAATAAAAATAAAACAATACCCCCTTGCCCTGAAAAAAATACAACCCCACACAAATTTTTGTGTATTTTGACAAAACAGTAGAATAGGTAGATGTAGTAACGTGTTTATTTTGTGAACCTCCTTGGTGCAAGTGCTTTAGCTATATTAGCTCATTGACTATTTACAACAATCTTAGAGGGCTGGCATTTTTAAGCTTATTTTACAGGCGAGGAAACCGAAACAAGGGTGGGTTATTAACTACCTGGTCTACTGCTGGTGACTGCAGTGTGTGTATCAGAGCTGAGATTTAAATCAAGCCTTTGTGACGTTAGAGAAAAATGCTATATTCCCATTAATTGACTAGTAGACTTTCAATTTTACAACAAAATCCAAAGCTGGAAAATTCTTTTCTTTGTGTCAAGGTTTTCTCACTTCCTGGAATGAAGATTCTCACTATTGTAAGGGTTACCATTATAGATGATTATCTCTTTCGGTTGGTATTGCTGGTAAAAAAAAACAAACCCACTGTCATCAAGGTGATTTCAACTCATAGCAACCCTATAGGACAGGGTAGAACTGCCCTAAGGCCGTGAACTTTACAGAACCAGACTCATGGAGAGGTTGGTGGATTAGAACCTCCAAGCTTTCTGTTAGCACTTATGCACTTTATCCACTGCACCACCAGGGCTCCTTGCATTTCTACTTAAAAATGACAGTTGTCAAATACTTATTTTTGTAAGGTATTGAATTATATATATTTTTTCCCTTGGTTGGGAGCATTGCTAGAAATAATTGACTATCTTCTGAGTGACCCCACAGCAAGGCATGAATTACTTCCCTAAAGAATTTTACTATGTAAATAGATTGTAAACCTTTGCTCAAGTCAAAGGACATTGCCTGTTGCTAGTTTTTTCCCCCCAAATTGAAATAATGAGAAATAAAAATAAATTCTCAGCATTAGTAATAAGAAAACCAAAACTTTTGAAGTCAGCAGACGCCAGCTCTTCGGTGTTGCATGATAGATTCTATTTTGAATCTTTTCGTTCCTTCAGTTCTGTTCACCTGGAGGCATGAAGTTGTACCTGATACTTGGGGAACCATTTAAGGGGCACTCTTCAGGCTTGGCAAGCAGCATCTCCCCTGAGCAGTGACAGAGAGCTCTACCAGATTACTCAGCTCTGATGTACTTAGAGGACGAGGTTGGGGCATAGTCGTCGAGGGGGGCCCAGCTGCACTGAGCACATACTAAGTGCTCCAGAAATGTCCACTGGATGAACTAATTAATGAAGAATGGCGTGGACTCGTGGGGAATATAGCATAT